CGAATAAAAATTGTTGATTGTAAGCCCAATTTAAACATAAATATGAGAGCCTAGAAAATAACTACTTCTATTTATGTCAACAAGATCAATGTGTATCATCGAGATTGAAAAGACACAACCTTTATTCGCAGAACTGCGTACAAAGTGCGATATATCACATAGTATGTCGCATAACTGAAATTATGGGGAAATAAGCCTGCCCAATGAGCAGTGCCCAAAGGTGTAGGATCAAATTTCACGACTTTTTCGTAACATTAGGAGTTAAACTAGTTCAGAGGATGAAGGATAAACAAATTTGAAACAAAAAACAGAAAGAACAAATGATGTTAATAAATATGAAATTATATAATAAGATACAATTTCAGTAATTCTGTTTGAAATAATAATGTTCAAGGTGAATTTTAAAAAAAAATGAGATTATATCATAAAATACAATTGCAAGTAATTATAGTTATAAAAGAAAGATATTTGGTCCTACTGGGTTAATAAATGGGTGAATCTGATCACTTACCATTAATACAATAATCCAAAAACATGACTGAGAGTCCAAACAATACCACATATAAAGTGCTCCTTGTTTCATAATCAAACATACTTGCTGGTTGCTACCTAAATCATGAGCTTTTTCCAAGTATTAAAAAACTGAAAACATTTTTTTACATATTTTCATTTTAGTCTTGGAGCATTACATGCAACACCCAAATACACACTGGATTTGTACATGAAAATGTACAATAGTTGCTTCATGGTTCCTCAAAATGCTTGAACTCGATTAGATACTGTCGGGCAGACGGCACTTATTTGAGGAACCGTATAAGGTCCGTGGAGCAAACCTTGCGCAATCAACCTATAAGCAGCCTCCGTGAAGTGTAGGCCGTCCCAACTAGCAGACGAGCCTGGTTCCTCACAACACGTTGAAGGCGGGAAGCCGCATAGTGCCGACTTGTTATAATTGTACGGGCCCCCTCCCCCACAGCAAGCCCGAAAAATTCCCTTCGTGAATCCTGCATTCGTAGGTTTTTTTTTAAAAAAAAAAATAAACAAATAAATCAAGAATGATTATCTAAATTAGTTAATTACCGAACTCTGTTGGGGAGAGATAGAAGCGCATTGTAGCTTCGTAATTATTTCCGTAGATTAAGGTGACGTGGGGATGAAGGCCCTGAATGCGGCTCAGCTCCTGTTTGAGCAAACTATTGTGGTGCTTCGAGAGCTCGTTTAACCAAACGAGACACCCGGTTTTGGGGTCGTAATCGCTAGAGGCACTTGATCCCTTGAACTGTGTAAGATAAACAGGCAAGCAGCCTATGGGGAAGTTCCCAGGGATTAATATTGTCCTGGCACCAACCTTAATCAGTTCCTGTTAGGAAAAATGAAATGTCAACTTCACTTAGGCCTACGATTGATATTGCCAAAAGATAAGATAAAATCAGTGGAAGAGATTTTTTTTATGTACTTGAATTGTGTATCCAATGTAATCAATAACATGTGGAACTAATGATTGGATCGTTTCGAAATTTGCCCCTTGCATGATCGGATTATTGTAATCGTTGCCTCCGATCTCTCCCAAAATAACCAAAGATCGTTCAAGGAATTTGTTTCCATCTGTTGTTGGTACATGAGCAGAGTACTTATTGATTAGATAATGAAAATTTTATTATTGAAAAAAAAAGTGGGGTAAATTTTCACTTTTGAACTGATCTGAACTGAACTGATTAGAGAAGTCAAACTATATTCACCTTAATGCTACAATCCCGGAACCATTCCGTCATGGTTTGCAATCATTAGATCAACTATCTCTGACGGTCGGTTCCATGATGATCTAACGGTTTTAAATCACGACGGAATGGTTTCGTAATTGGATTGATTTCACTTAAGTCTCAAACTATCCTCGTGTGAATGCTGACAATACTGATTATTTCAGAAGGTTATCAATTTGGATACCATAAAAGTACAAGTATTTAAATTCAATTTAAGACCAGCTCACCTGGAATTGTAACAAAAAAATGTTTGAACCAATCCAATTGAGTCCCAAGAGACACATTTGTCTCTGTATTGTGAATTCCCATTTCCTCGTAAAAGCCACTATCAAGAGCTGAAGCTCCGGCCACTGCGAAATTCACTCCTCCGCTGAAATTCCGGCCGCCGTTTTCTCCACCGACGTACGGTTGCAACAGCGGCAGCCCCAAACTCTGAGCTGCGCACATAAAAACACGACTTTTTTTTAATAACCTAAAAGCTGAGATATAAGATAATTATATACATACACAGCAGTACCGATGAAATCGACAACAAGTCGGCCGTCGGAGCATCTTCCGGTGGGGCGATTGAAGTAAGTCCGGCCGTAGGGCGATCGGGAACAGTGCGGCGGGTCGTCGGCCGGCCGGATCCGGATCAGATTTCCGGTGTCGGCAAGCGAATCTCCGAAGCTGACAATGGAATCGTAGCATCCGGAAATCGATTCGCCGGCCGCCGCTGACGATGCTAGTAATAAAATTGAGATGACTGAGTATTCAAATGGTATCATTTTTTTTGCTGTGGGTGATTGAAGGTTGGTGGGAAGTGGAGCCCGGGTTAGGTCCTTACGGGTCGACAATTATGGCGGAGATGACGCCGGAACTGGTGTCCGGCGACGGAGCCTGACCTGACAACGGAATGGTTGGGAAAATTGATTTTTTTTTGCTTGGAATTTTTTTTGTGCGGTCTCGCTGTTTGGTCTCGTTATCATTGTATACAGTTGACCCGTTTTAGAATGTAATGCATATTATCAAAAATAGTACGGTGCACGTGTATAGATTTGGTTGGTTGCAGTTGGTGCATATATATCAAAATAAATAATACTAAAAGTTATCTATTTAACATGTTATACTAAAAAAATAATATACTTTATAGTTTAAATTAGCTAAGTGGTATGAAAATGACCCTCATCTTCGACCTGATATGGCTTCCTTGTCGGTGAATGAACTTATAAGACCTGTAAAAACTCGCCACCGGGAAATTTTTCGGTGAAGAGTCTCTGATGCTTAGGTTAGTAAGATGTAGGAGATGGTGAACAATATATAAGTGTGTAGAGAGTGTAATGTTCTAAAGGGCATACCTCATTCCCTTTTAATGCATGTTGTTTGTCCCATTTTTGTTGCGTTTTTCGTGTTTATTTTATCTTTACTTTTCCCTCGTTTTAGGTTGTTTCTTTAGTTTTTAGTCTATTTCTTGTTTTATTATGTGTTTTCCTTCATTTTGAGTCATTAGTTTTTTTTTTGTTTGTTTTTCCGCTTTTCTTTTGTCTTTTGTCGTTTTTGGTGTGTAGGTCGAAAGATTCGGGCGAATTTTCTCTTCAGGTAAAGTTGGTTTCGAGAGCATAACTGGATAGAGGGGTTCGTTAGCGACGCATATGAAAAAACGGAACTCAATTCTGAGTTCGAACGAGCTCAAACGAGGCGAAAACGCAAAATGGTGCAGTGCAGCCCAGAATCTCGCGAGTCGCGAGCACAAAGTCGCGAGTCGCAGCGACCCGTCCAACTCGCGACTCGCGAGTCAACTCGCGAGTCGCGACCCGGTCGACCCCTGTTTTTATTTTTGCTCGTTTTTACTCGTTTTAGCTCCGTTTTTCGTGCACTATATATCAAATCGAACCTCCAGACCTAAGGAACAACCCTCAATATCGTTCCTTTCAAGTTTTCTCTCCAAAAACTCAATATTGTTAGGATAATTTTCTCCGCTTTTCTTTTTATTTTCTCATGTTTGGATTGTTGGACACAAAGACATTTGGATTGAAATCCTTCAAGTCTTAATTCGATTGTAAGTTTTTCAATTCTATTTTATTATTGTTGATTGGTTTTATGTTCTTAATTCCAATTAACATGAAATTGAATCTAAACATGAGGTAATCCATTCACCTAGGGTTAGGGATTTTGATTCTTGTTTGAATTATGTGGAATATCTTTTGTTCAATCTATGCGAGTTGTGTGAATTATAGGGTTAGTTGATTGATCACCATTCTAACCTAGTTAATCAACGTGTAGAACCGAGAGGGGAGGCGTTGGTCGATTTAGCTCTATAGAGTAGACATGTTCGGAAACGTATTGTCTATGTGTTGCTTGTTTGAATGAGTTTATCGTTTATGTATGTGCTCTTGTTACGAAGAGTTATTGAGCATAGCCCCCTAGACGTGTAGGCTTGTTAAATCTCGTAACCGAACAAATAATCGTTCAACATAGTTTGAAACTTGATGAGATTTCCCGACCCCTAGAACTTCTTCCTTTTCTCTAGAGATTTAATTGTTATTTCTTTATTCGCTTTCCTAGTTCTAATTAGTTTTAGATATTTCTCCAAATTATCCTTGATTAGATTTTTAGGATTTATTTTCTTTTCGTGTGTGATTAATACCAACGCTAAATTCCGAACCGTCTTCCTCGAGAGATCGACCCGGGGAACGAATCTTTTGATTCGGTACTCGGTAAAAATAAAAATAATTTGCTACAACACATGTGTTACTTTGTTGCCCATAATTGCCCGAGTGAGTTGCTCGAACAACCCGTCAGTACTGCTCGAACTGCCTAATTCTGTTAGGCCACATGGCTCTATTCGGTGGTCCTTATCCTGGTAATTCATTCTTATTCATTAATATGCCTTGTTGGACTACCTAATCATGCTACCGAACTGGGGCACCTCGAGGTAGAAGCTGCATAAGTTGAGCTCGCGTATCGTCTTTCTGGTCGATCCAGTCATGCCTTCGGGTTGAAGTTCTATGAGACCATCAACCTTAACTCGACATGTCGGTGTCTCTTTGAACATTTGATTTTCTCTTCGACCTGAAGACTCCCTATTATGCGACAACGTTCTCCGTACGACTTCCCTGTGCTTCTGTTCGAGTAACTAGTTTGCTCGGCCAAACCAACTTGTTTAATTGTTCTACCTGGTGTGGTATCCCCATTGTTTTAAATAATGTTTTTTTGCGCTCATAATTTTTTGTATTTTCGGAATAGCGTACGCCTTTGATGACGTGGCACTTTTTTTTTTTTTTTTTGTGAAAGCGTACGCTATTTACGCAATATTCGCGAAAGCGGACGCTATTTGGACTTCAATTTTTATAAGCATAAACAAAAAAACAAAAGAATGGAAAAGTAGAGAGGCCAACGAACCGAAGTCACGATTCACAAAAAAACCCTCGTTCACTCCCTCGGCCGAACCACTGTCGCGGACCCTGTCCAGTGCGACACACCCAAGCCGCCAGTCGTCGGCCTCCTGGCAGTTCAATCGTGTTTTTCATTATTTGATTTTGGGGCTAATTGATTTTTTGTGTTTGTGAGTTTGAATAGAAGAAAAAATAAGAAGAAGAAAATTTAAGAGAAAAAAAAAATTCGTTGTCTGCGAATGAAAAAAGAAGAAAAGAGAAGAAAGAAATAACAAGAATAAGAAAGAAAATAATAAGAATAAAGAAGAAGAAGATTTAAGAGAAAGAAGGATAAAAAAAAAAGGGTTGTCGTCTGCGAGAAGAAGGAAAAAAAAGGAAGAAGAGAGAAAAAGGAAGAAGAAAGAGGAAAGAATAAGGAAAGAGGAGGGGAGAGAAAGAATAAAAGAATAGGAAAAAAAGAAAATATAGTGTTGGTGTGACACTAGACATGGTCAAATTTCGGGCCGACGGGTTGGGTTTGGCGGACCCTGAACCGGCACAGCCCAGGTTCGTTTCGGGTCGGGTTGGGCCCGGGTATGAGCCCATCCTAATTTAAAAAAAAAGAAGAAAAAAGAAAAATTTGAAAATCATATGTTTTTTTCGTGCCGACACAGACTCGGTCCGGCCCGTCGGGTCAAGGTCGAAAAAATCCCGAACCTAGATCGGCCCGGTTGAAATTCGAGCTGGGCCAAAACCCGTGGTCAACGGGTTTGATCTGACCGGGTCCGGGTCGGTTGACCCGTGGCCACGTCTATTGGTGTGTGTTTGTGTCGTTGTGTGGTGTGAATTTGTAGGATAGTGACCATTTTTTTTTAAAAAATAATTTAGGGTAGATGTGGGTTTAATTTATTTAAGCTAAAGAAATTACTTTATTTAAAGAAATTATTTTATATTAGGGTAACTTCATTGCTATCAATTTTGGCTTTGGCTCTGAATTTGGGGGTGCAAAAAGGTTTGTTGTTGCTGGGAAGTCTGGTGTTGGGTGTTGTTGGCTTTCCAACTTTATGGTTTAAGATAATTTCAATTATTTATTTATCTGTATGGTTATATATATTATTAAATTTGGCTAAAAGTGAACTGCTCGAATAGCTTACGTGATGCACGTTTTAAAACACTAGGTATCCCATATCACTAAGTATTTTATAAATTTAGAAGTTCTAACACTGGATTATACTTCAAA